AACAACAGGAATCATTGTTTTTAGAGCCTGCTCAAAAACGGTAAGATGTTGGAACTAACAGCGCTAGTTTTTTGTTGCCTGGTTGGGAGATTTTTGTTTTTAGACAAACACGGGAACTTAAAAATCCAAATGGCTTTCAAAGTAGTTTAATCTTAGAAGGTTATGTACATAACAAGAGTTCCAAATTGAATTTGAAGCCCACAGAACTGAAATGACTTGATTAAAATCTTACAACTCTGAATTCAGTACTTTTTCCAATATACTAGAATTATACCCTTGAAATTCCAGACCTATGAGGGCCAAAGCCTCCACGAATATCAGTTGTGTAAAGAAAATTAACCTTTATCTGGGACACGGTCCATTTTCTGACTTCAGGAGCCTCTAGGTCAGAAGATAAAAAGTGCTCCTACTTATTTCAGAGGCCAGTATCAGACTAAGACATTGAATATTTAAAGAAAAAGAACAGGGAGGTTAAATATACTACATTTTGTTTTCTAATACAGGGCACCAAAGTACATTATATCTTCTCAATTCATTCAGTATAGTTTTAGTGGGACCTGGCAATGCAGCAAAATTTCCTGGAATCTCTCTTCTCTGTTATCTTGCAAAGCACTGTTTGTCATTCAAAATTGTCATCGCTCTAAATAAAGTTGAGAGACCTGGATTTCCTGTCCTATCCAAACTTCCCGTCTTCCAAAACACACACAATTGAGGTCTAAGGACAGTGTATTTAATTCTCCACCCTACTTCTATTATAAACATAAAATTTCCCTTTTATAATAAAGATGGTAAAACAAATACAGTGGAATCTCAATGACAAACTTACTCTATGCTTTAGAGAGCACTAACTAAACTGGACCAGGAAAGTCAATTTTATCCTAAGAACTCACTATAGTGAAGGCTACCATGTATGTATATATGTGTGTGTGTACATACACATATAAACCTTAAAATCAGAAACTATTGGCTTTGGATATCATATAGCAAATACAGAAAATGTCACATAATAACTAGTTATTTGTTGTTGCTGTTAGGTGCCGTGGAGTCAATTTCAACTTACAGCGACCCTATGCACAAGAGAATGAAACACTGTCCGGTCCTGCGTCATTCTCACAATCGTTGTTACGCCTGAGCCCACTGTTGCAGCCACTGTGTCAATCCATCTCGCTGAGGGTCAGTTATTAATGAAGTCCAATAATAAAGTAAATAAATCACTTATTCAAGGCATTCAGGCACAACTACTGCATACCAGGAACTTGGTGAAGATGACAAACATACTCCTGGCCTTCAAGGAGCTTCCAGTCTGGTAATGTAGAAAACATATTACTTCTGAAAGTGGTAATTCACTATACATTATTTACGGTAGATTAAACTTTTATCAACTTCTTCACAGAAAACTTGATAAGAGTTTAAGAAATAAAATTTATATAACGGGTTTATTTATAATATTAGAAAAGATGTGTATTTCCTCCTTCTACAAAAAAGCTGAATTTAATGTTAGTTAACACCACCATTTCAACATCTTTCAAATCCACATTTTTGGACAAATTAACACAGGAATCAGAGGGAGCTAGCAGTTTGTCCAGTTATACAGGCTTCAGCTTCTAGGTATGGTTATTACAGAAATATTGGAAATGTTAATGTCTGTTTATCACACAGCTAATATTTAAAATCCTATAACCCAAGGTATCTATGACCAAAAGTCTTTCAACTGTTTTGTGACCAATATAATAGCAAATTTCTGCAACTTAAACTCATTTACCTATCAAGATCTTACACCATTTATGGAATCATTTAGAAAGGATCTAAAGGTTTGTGACATGTGTAAGATTCTTGAGTTTTTCTTTATAATTTCCTAATATAATATAATAAAAGAGAACTAATGACAATGAAGTACTTAGATTCCCACTATTTCTCACTCAAGTATAAAAGACAGAGGAGTCAAGTATTGATTCTAATTCTGGTTTTGATTCTTTGGTGTATGACAATGATAAAGTAAATGAGAGGCTCTATACTGAGCTTCCTTATTTGTAAAGTAGGTTATTCCAGAACTCTTCCCATTCCCAATTTAAATAAACAATTCCAGTAGAAGTTGAGCAGTTGACTAATTCACTAGTATGTTCTATTACTAATACATGATATTACTACTTCCCAACAATAGTTAAGTTTACATATTTGGACTACAATTTCATCACTAAATTCATTTCTAAAACCAAAGTTTTTTAAAACACCATCTACTTTCCCTCCTCAGTGTGCATTATTGTGTCTACTTTATTACTAGCTTATAAGTCTGTCCACCTTAATAGGTAACAAATTCTTGACAAGTGCTGAGTTTTACTCATTTTGTATTTACTGGTTTATCTCACCCTACCACAACCACCACCCACTCCCTGTAACACACATAAATCGCATTCAGTTCATAAATTATATTCTGACACATTAAAAGTTGACTAAATTAATTCTTAATGATTAAAATCATCTACTTTAATAATTGATTCTACTAGTAATTAAAAGCAGTTTCCTTTACTCACTAATACCATGCCATCCTATTCTCACATTCCTTCTTGGCTTTTAAATTTCACCAACAAAGGGGGTGTGGATTTTTAAAGATTTAGCTTAGAAAAAAATAAAAGTGCTATGACCTAATTAATAGACTGTTTTAAGACAAGGACAATATTTTAATCATATTTCCACCAACTCCACTCCCCAAGCAACTAGCAGTCGTTCAATGAATTATCAGTTGAATGAATAAATAAGCCTAGCACATAGAACTGCAAAACAATAATCTCCAAGAACAACTTCTGGATTTCATGGAAGAGAATATAGCAAAATAAAATAATAAAGAACCTAAATAAACTGGAGACAGACACAAAGCATCAGGGTTATCAACGTTTACTTTTCCAACAAGATTGGTAAGAAATTAAATACTTCTACATATATCCATAATTCATAGAAGGGCACCAACACTTCATTTTTAATGAGGATCAACTTTCTAATGAAATCTTTTACTTCTCTCTTTTGAATCTTCAATATATTATACGAATTTATAATCCTCCTAGTATAATGCAGAGACAGAACACTGGAAAGATACAGTGGGCAAGTGTATAAAATCTGCTAGAGGAGTTTAGCCTTTGAGTGCAGAATCTGATTTGAGAAGAACAAGACAATAAATCAGTGTTTTGTAAAAATAACCCTGCAGCAGTATATAAGACATGCGCTACGGACCGGACAAGTGAAGGAAATCAGGAAGCCCAACAGAGACTTTTGTAGTTGTCCAGGCATGCAGAGATGAAAGACTGAGAAAGGGTGCCAAAACATAAGATACAGGGCAGGGACTATGATTTTATGAACTGTTATATGTGGGGATTGCTCATTAACTCATTTATTCCCATGACTACCTGCCCTACTATGCCCATTTTATAGGCAAAAAATTAAGGCTCACAGAAACTAGGTAATTTGCTCTAGGTTCCAACTAGGGCTTGAATCAAGATTTGCCTGACTCCAACATCCTTATTCTTTGGATCATGGGTTATTTATATTTTAAAACAACTAAATGGACTCTCTAAACAACATCTGAAAGGAAAGGAGAACTTTATGGTAAATTTCATATATAGATAAAACAGAAGTATTACTGTCATTTCATGGTATCTAGCAAAAATATACAAAATGTTATGCATATAGCTTGCAGTGGGACACTTGGAAAGATGATCTGGTTTGGAGGGTAACTCAGTTTTTGTTTTTGATATGTACTTGAAGGAAGGCAAACACCCTATAGTCAAAAGTAAAAAAAAAAACTAGATTCAAGGAGTGAGATTATTGCTGCAGAAGGAACACGGGGGCAGAGAAACAAACACTGTACCCAGGTAAGTAAATAGACTATACTGGACACCCTTACAAAAAGGAAGAACAGAAGATTGCACTTTAGGAACCATTTGCTGTTAAAGTACATGATCAATGAAGCATGAAGACTCTCCTGATGTAGGAAGAAAAAAAATCAGAGGACCACAGGCCTAATACAACTTGACTCGAGTCAATTTTTAAAAGGCCCCACACCCCAAACAGCCACAGAGGAGCTACAGATGAGCACCTGTGCCATATCTTCATCAATTATAACCTTTCCAAGACTATCATAATAATCTCAAAAATTGCAAAAGACCTTAAGGTTACCACCTAATCTAGAACCCTCTCCAACAGGTATTGATCCAGGATCTACATTAACACCTCCAGGGCCTGGGAGCTCGGTATATCAAGACATTCCATTCTCGCAACATCAGTTTTTTCTATAGTTCACCGAAATTGTATCCCCCGAATTCTCCCTAACTTCCACCCATTTGTTGGTTGTGCCCTCTGAGAGCTACGCACAATGTGCTTCTATCAAAATAATGTCGAGGATTTCTTGGCCAGCCCTATAATCCTAATCTTTTCAAAAATCGTATTTTCCAAAATAAGCATTAGACGAATAAAACGGGCAATTCTTCCCCTCTCCTTACTTAACAAGAACAACCAGAAGTTAGCTTTAGATGCTTCTCAGGATTAATAATCCACTTGCACAACTTCTTATACATGCTCATTTACTATACTGCCAGTTTTGATCATAGCATTAGGGGTTTTCGAAATTTCGCCTAACACAAAGTGTTGTTCTGAATCTGCGCATTAGATCCGCATAATCCTACCAAGAAATAAACCTTAGAGGCCTGCACTTTTTACAGCAGGCCAGCTAAATTTCTTTCAGCCGCACCCAGGACAGCTAATTAGAAAATGAAGACGGGGAATCTGGATCAAAGAAAACCCCTAGGCGAGATAGTGTTACGCCACACGGAAAGCGAGAACGAAAGGGCAGGGCTGTTATTTTCCAATGAGTCCAAGTGTCTGCGTGCGGCGACTAGCTCCGCGCGTGGCAGGTTAACCTCCCCAACCCCCACCCCCGCCCCGCAACGACCAAGGCCCCATCATCCCACTCCCGAGCCCCGCCTCCGCCCGTCACCTTTCTCCGCACTAACCTTTCTCCTCCCGGCTGTCGGCCGCCATTGCTCCCCTCCTGTTTCCGCTGCTGCTACCGCAGCCGCCGCTTCGACGCGACTCGCGCGGGCGCCGCAGCCGCGGCAGCAGTAGCACGGGCCCGTCCGTCAGTCCGTCCGCCGGGCCGCGCGCTTCGCACCTTGGTCTCTGCCACTCACCCTTCTCAACTCACCCTTTTTCTCCCCCCTTCTTCCCTTTCTCCCTTTTCCCCTTCTCTCTTCTCACTCCAGGCTCCTGCGGCCTAGACCCAGCCTTCCCGATAGGGCTTAGGGGCGGGAGGAGGAAAAGGGCAAGGAAGGGAAACAGATGGCGACGGCGGGCGGCGCTAAAATGGAGCCTGCTTCCTGAGTGAAACAATCCCGCTCCCGAAATGCTCTGCGCTGTTTACGCTTCGTTCCTCTCTGGGAACGTCACAGTGTGGGGAGGGACGGAGCGGCAAGGCGGGGAAGGGAAGTAGCGTGACGTCACCACGTCGCCCCGCCCCCGCAGCCCCCTGTCCGCGAAAGAAGTCTTATTGCCAGGAATTAGGTAAAGTAGATCGTGGACCGATTACGTCGCTCAGTTGCGCAGTTTCTTAACCGAAACGCCCAGTGGAGGCTGCGTCTTTTCGCCTTAAGTCGCCCCGCGATACTCCCGATTCAGTGTTGCAAATCAGTCTTTATTTAGAACAAGTACGGGCTGGCTCCTTTGAAGCCACTACTTTCTCTTTTGTATAGGAGATGTTTTTCTTAAGTTAAGGCCCCAGGCTTACCCAATGGCAGCGCAGAGGATGCAGCTCTCTTGACAAAAAAAATCATAGTTTTTGTTTGTTTTTAAATTGGGGGAAGGAATTATATTGTATTTTAACATAACGTTGTAATGCACATAATAAATTTGGATTAAAGAATTACCTAGGCCCCGAGGTATACAGTTGATGAAACAGACCATTGAGGAATTGAAAACTACAGAAGTGTCTAAAAATTTCATAGCTACATAAAGTAGTAAAATCTCTGAAGGAAACTTGTAGAAGTTCAAAAGAGTGAAAATATAATTTGGCTTCACTGCAAAGTAAGTTTATAAGGTAAAGAAAATTCGAAAAAGAGGTAACATTATGATGTAAACACAGACTAATAGCATGTTCAGAGTCCCTGGGTGTTGCAAACAGTTAAGCACTCAACTACGAACTAAAAGATTGGAGGTTCAAACCCACCCAGAGGTAACTTAGAAGAAAGGCCTGGCTATCTACTTGCAAAAGGTCACAGCCTTGAAAATCCTATGGATAAAAGTTCCGCTCCAACACACATGAGGTCGCGAAAAGTCAGAATCATCCAGACCAACTGGTTCGGTTTCGTTTAATTTCACGTTCACAGAAAGACAAGTAGTCCAGAGAGTGTTGTTATTTGATGCCCATTGTCAAGAATTATTACCAATCTAAGGGGGCAGTGGTGGTTTGGTGGTAGAATCTTGCCTTCTAAGCAGGAGACGCGGGTTTAATTCCTGACCAATGCACCTCACGTGCAGACATCGTGTGTCTGTCAATAGAGCTTTTTGTGTTGGTATGATACTCAACAGGTTCCGGAGGAGCTTCCAGACTAAGATGGACTAGGAAGAAAGGCACGCTGATCTACTTCCAAAAATCAGCCAACAGATTACAATGATCTGATCCTGTTGTGCATTGGGTTACCATGAGTTGGGGGCCGACGCAATGGTAGCTAACAAAAATCTTTAGTATCTTTGTAAATGGGAATTAAAAAATTATTCTCAAAGAGTTCCTGTAATGTTTCCAAGCATTAGAAAAGTTCAATTAAGTGTTCAGTGTTGTTGTTGTTAGGTACCATCAAGTTGGCTCTAACTCATAGAGACCTTATGTACGACAGAACGAAACAATGCCAGGTTCTGCGCCATCCTCACAATCTTTACTATGCTTGAGCTGATTGTTGCAGCCACTGTGTCCATCCATCTCTTTGAGGGTCTTCCTCTTTTTTGCTGACCCTCTACCTTACCAAGCATGATGTCCTTCTCCAGCGACTGGTCCCTCCAGATACCATGTCCAAAGTACCTGCCTGAGACAAAGTCTCACCATCGTCAACTCCAAGGAGCAGTCTGGCTGTATTTCTTCCAAGACAGACTCGTTCGTTCTTCTGGCAGTCCATGGTATATTTGCCAATACCATAATTCAAAGACATCAATTCTTCTGTCTTCCTTATTGATAGTGCAGCTTTCACATGCATATGAGGTGATTGAAAATATCATGGCTTGGGTCAGGTGCACCTCAATCCTCAAGATAACATCTTTGCTTTTTAACACTTTAAAGAGGTTTTTTGCAGCAAATTTGCCCAATGCAATGTGTCGTTTGATTTTTTGACTGCTACTTCCATGGGTGTTGATTGTAGATATAAGTAAAATGAAATCCTTGACAGCTTCAATCGTTTCTCCGTTTATCATGATGTTGCTTATTGATCCAGTTGTGAGGATTTTTGTTTTCTTTATGTTGTGGTGTAATCCATACTGAAGGCTGCAGTCTTTGATCTTCATTCAGTAAGTGCTTCAATCCTCTTCACTTTCTGCAGCAGGGTTGTATCATCTGCATGTCGCAGGTTGTTAATGAGTCTTCCTCCAATCCTCAAATAAGTAGTGCTGGAACAATTAAATAACCATTGGAAATAAATGACCATGAACTCTACCTAACACCATCCACAAAAATTAATTCAAAATGGTTTATAGACCTAAATATGCATCAGGAGTGTGCTGGATATCTGTGTTTGACCTCTCTGATCCATTTTCCACACTTCTCCACCCTGCTCTGTACACTAGGAGGATGACCATATAGATGCATCAACTGATTCTCTTCCCTTGGTTTTGGTTGAGTTCAAACAATGGGAGGCACCAGTAGGAGATCTTAGGGTAGGAAGAGAGTAACGATCAAACTATTTCCCCGGCTCTTTCCCTGCAGGGTTAACAGAGGTTGGCACTGTCCCTCTATCCATGGCCCCCATTCCTGGCAGGTAACCCTCTCATAAGGAGCCCTGGTGGAGAAAAGGTTAAGCACTCGGCTGCTAACCAAAAGATTGGCGGTTTTAACCTACCCAGTGACTCCACCGGAGGAAGATCTGGTGATTTGATCCCTTAAAGATGACAGCCTAAAAAACTCTATGGGGCAGTTCTACTCTGTTGCATGGGGTCTCTATGAGTCAGAATCAACTCAGTGGCAACAGGTTCAGTTCGGGTTTAACCCTCTCTATACAGTTATCTTAGCCAGGTTCTAGTAACCGTGCCCTTTTCTTGCCTCTTCAGGCCTGAGGCAATAACGCACTATCCCTTACGGTTTCACAACACACTGCCCACACCTTTGTAATCAGTACCTTTATTAAACTGTCATATTAGGAAACCCTGGTGGCGTACTGGTTGAGAGCGAAAGGTCGGCAGTTCAAATCCACCAGGCTCTCCTTGGAAACCCTAAGGGGCAGTTCTACTCTGTCCTTTAGGGTTGCTATGAGTCAGAATCAACTCAATTGCAATGAGTTTTTTTTGTTTTGTTTTTTTTAATACGTAATCCTTAGAGCCCTGGTTGCTCAGTGGTTAAGAACTCAGCTGCTAACCAAAAGATTGGCAGTTCGAATCCACCAACCACTCCTATGTCCTATCGGGTCGCTATGAGTCTATGACTATGAGTCGGAATTGATTTAACGGCAATGGGTTTTTTTTTTGTATAGGTTACCCTAGGAGTCCTGGTGGTGCAGTGGTTAAGCGCTCAGCCGCTTACTGAAAGATTGGCAGCTCAAACCCACCAGCTGCTCCAAGGGAGAAAGATACGGCAGTCTGCTTTCCACGGCAGTGGGTTTGGTTTTATATATATATATATATAT